TTTAATTTTTTTTCAAGAAAAAATTCACAAGTTTTCGTTTGCCAAAAATCTAACACTCACCTTAACGTTTTTTCCAACCTTGAGTAAATTGGTGGAATTGGCATTCAGACTGCGTGCACTTATAATACGAAAATTAGAAATACCGCCGTCACTATTGGTCGCGAGTTTTTCTTTGGGTGAAAGAATTTTGGTCGCCATGATCGGTGCACTGGGGATCACAGAAATTGCACTTGGAGTCTTTGATAGTGGTGGTATCGGTACTTTTGGATTGATATCGTCCTCAGGTTTACGCTGCATTACTTCTATGTCACGTACCCGTAACTGTTCGATCGCACTCAAGTTTTTCAAGATCTGTAGATTAGGTAAACAATTTTTATGTATAAAATGAAAGATTTTTGTATATAATTTCGCATTATGTTTTCGTATATATCAGGACTTTGACAAGGAGATAAATGCAAGGAAGGTAACCACGGAAATTTATGATAGGAGTATTACCTCACGAGGTAAACATCTCTCTAGAACTTGAGGTGGCTGGTTGTAATGAGCCGAGCTCAGATGAGATGCCAGTTCTTTCATATTGGCCGCACCATGAGCACAGTACAAGCAATGGTACTTGAAATAACCATGCTGCTTGTAGTGCTGAAATAAATATTTAAAGTTTACGTTGAGAGTTAACCACGGTATAAGTACACGGATGAGAAAATTATTTCAATTACTTCAATGAGAGCGTCTGTATTGGATGCTAAGACTACACAGATATGGCACTTGTAGCCAGAAATAATATTTTTATGATGCATATTCAGATGTAACATGAAGGCTTCCGGTATAAAAAAATACTTGTTGCACTCTGAAACAAAACGCATGTTCAATTACATCGATCAAGTTGTTAGATTGATATGGCTTTTGCTTGAAATTTGACTTACCATGAACGCACACGTATGGCTTGATAATTTGTTTACGATCGAGTCTTTTCGGAGGAGGAGGTGCGAGCACAAGTTCTTCGCTCGCTACGAGTATGTGAATTTTTTTTATAGGGTGATAACTTTTCTGTAAATACACACAAGATGAGCAATTTGAAAAATAACCAACTGATTACAAATAAAGAAACAAACAATGCTTGGTTAAAACATACCTGATGTATTTCGACGTAAGAATAAGCATAAGCCCTATAAAAACAGTACTTGCAGCAGTATCTGCAGAATATGTGCGTTGTCTCGAGATGTTGGACAAGATCGGTATAGTTTTTGCAGTTGATGTAGCAATAAGCACACTTGTGAAAATCTCTATACTCGGTATAACTTGATACATCAGATGATGACTCAATTTCGTGCATTTGTATGTGCCTGAAGAATATGGGCTCGGTGCTCGTTGTAAAACAACAATCTCGACCCATGCACTTGAACAAGTGTACAAGCTTGTCGTCGTTTAGCATTCTTTCGTAAACAACAGCGGATTTAAGCTTGATGGCAACGGGCATCTGTTCAGGTGGATTTATTTTTACCAGCTTGATTGGCTGTCCAGTCGAGGTGACGATAGTCGTTGTAGGGCTGTTGATAGCATTAGGCGCGGCTGATGATAACGAAGTCATTGTTTTCGGATCTAACTTGATCGATATCTGTCCACCAATGGACACATAGCTATCGGAAGGTTTGGCACTCGTACGAACTGCTGAGGGTATTGATATCGGGACAAGTTTGAGCGGCTCACCCGTAGAGCTTGTCAAGACTTGGCTTGTGCCATCTGCACGCTTGATGATGTATTGACTGGGTGCCTTTTTTAGCACCGGTAGACCGGCTATTGGCGGCGATGTTTCGACCGTTTGGCGCATATTAGGAACCTACGTTGATGATTAATTTTAAACAATCAAACATTACAGATCTAACGGATTTTAAAAAATATTAAAATTACGTACAAATTTGTTGACACCGTCCTGTGGAGCAAGACTCACGACACTTTCAATTCTAAATCCGAAATTCGAGTCGTCTTCTGCGTCTAGGGGTTTCATGGTAGCCATTGTCTGGTCGGTCCCTGTAATAACGTATTTATCCAGTTATTTGTTAGGTGTCATTGACAAAAACAAAGAAATAATTCGCTGGAAATTTACCGTTATTTGATTCGCACTCTTGGTCGCCTCCCTTGGAAAGTTTATCTCCACTTATTCTCCTGATTCTAATGAAAGTCTTAGGAGACTGAGCAGTTTGCTTCGAAGCAGCTTCTTCAGTTGCTTTAAGCCCATTATCGTTTGCCTGGATAAAACGAAACATATACATACATACATAGTGTATATTAAGCAAAGTTAGATACACATGCGAAAATTAAAATAATGTAAATTCAATTAATTTACCGTTAGCGATCCCAGCTCCGCATGGACTTCAGTCTTAATAGTTGTTTGCGATGTAACAGCATATATATATTCTAATTATTGTATCATCACTCACTCGTCGCACATCCAGCCATCTTCCTCCCGCTCTACCATCAAAAGGGGCTTATCGCGGCCGTGCTTTTCTCTAATGTGATGAACCAGAGTGGATTTAGTGCCATTTTCGGCGCAATAGGCACACTTGATCTTTACCTCGCTATGCTCTTTGTACTTGAACATCGAAGTTCTAGTATTGTCCTTGTGCAAAAGTTGCCAGTGGTGTCTAATCTTATCAAGTGATTGGCTGCTCATACTACAGTAATAGCAGTAGTAAACTATAGATTTTTTTTCATCATTAAACTTAGCTTTTTTGCCGACGCGCAACGCTGCTACGTCCATTGCGGCGCTAGTAACTATAGCCTCTTCGACCTTAAATTCCAAATGAGCGTGATTGACCTCCCAGTGCTGTCGCATCTCAGTCAGATTAAAGCTGCTAAATGTGCAGTAAGTACACTTTTGCTTGACTTTCGTCTCGTGCGTTCTCATGTGATTCTTGAGCCCAGTCATGTTCAATGCAGTAAAGTCGCACTTTTTGCAGGGTAACTCGTTTATTTGGCCGTCCTCGGTGACACCTACTGTCACATCCTCGGGGCGTTTGCGTTTTTTTGAACGTTTCGGCACAAACAGACCATACTCACGTTCCCAAAATTCGGCACTCAACTCGCTAGTTTTGGGATTTGGATTTTCTACTACTTTTTCAGGCATGTTCTTGTGTCTTGAGCGTACGTGCTGCAATATCATTACCTCAGAACTTGAGCTGCGGTCGCAGTAGGCACACAAAAACTTCAGCCTTTTCAAGTGCTTCAGCTGAACGTGTCGCTTGAAGCCTCGCCACTTTGTAAACTTCATGTGACAGTGTTTGCAAAATATAGCCTCCGACAGCACCTCGGATGAAACGTTGTCTATATTGATGTCCTCGATCTCCTCCTCTTCGATTTTAATACTGTCGACCAGGTAGTCGTCTTCGTCACCACTCTCTTCGGCTTCGGCTTCAACTTCCACCTCGGCTTCATCTTCAACGGCTGTATTTGCAGCGGCTTTATTAGCTTTCATGATTTCACCTTGTGTCTTCACAACCATAGCAACCTAAAATTAATTTTTTTTTTTTTTTTTATCTTGAAATAGTAGGTTCAATGATCCAAATGAAAATTTGATACAATGGGTTACTTAATTTTTTTTTTTTTTTTTTTTTCGTTTACTCAACATCCCTACGTGCATACATCAAGGACAAATATTCAGTAACTTTGATTTCGACTTACCCAGTCTTCGATTTGGGCATCAGGACTGGTAGGTTCAACGTTGAAAGTCAGACCAGAATGTTTACTATTATGATGTTTAAGTAATATCGCGCGATTTACTGACTTGTACTCGCAATTAGGGCAATTCCACCTGAATTTGTAAAGAAATTTTTTTTCAAATTCTTTTCAATGATTAAAAGATTATGATATACGATCTCATGTATTTCAAGCTTACCTCAAGTATTTCAAGTCACGGAACATATGATCTCTAAAGTCTTGCTTGTACCGTGACTTGTAAGAGTTACAAATCACGCATGTGTATTGGTTCCCGATGGGAGTGCCGTAAGATCCAAAGCCTCCATCGGCCGTGCGCAGCTTATCAATGTCATCGATCGACAATGCGCGTTGTTTCTTGGTCTCGGGTGACTTGAGCGGGTCATCCGAAAGTGATTTGGCGGATTTGCGCTTGGCAGGTTTTCCGGTTTCGTTGTTTTCCTCCTCCTCCTCGAACAGAATGCCTCGAATGTGACGAATCCGTGGCATATGTCGCGACCAAAGCGGCGTAGTGTCGAACGGCTCATCCTGCACAACCGGGGCTTCCACTATCTCTGGTTTTTTTAAACCTATTAAATAATAATAAATAATCAGTGAATAATTACATTTAACTCAACGGAAATAATAAAGCGATACTAACTCTTGATCCTGCGATACACGGTGGTATAATCAACATGAGGGTCATTGGTGTGTTTGGTGGCCATGTGCTGATCAAAGGTGATCTTACTGATGGTTCTGAAACCACAACCGTTGCATTTGAACTGGCAGCGCTCATTGTGCTCGATAGCGGCATGATTTTGGATGGCTGCTTTTAATATGCACTTAAAATCGCACAGGTTGCACTTCCAGGTGTTGCCGTCCGGATCCGGCTGATCTTCGTCCTCGATCTCTTGGGAAGCGGTACCCAACAGTTGTTGCTGCTGCTGGTTCTCGATTATTTGTTGGTCGGTCTGTAGTTCGCGCACCACCTTGACAAACTGACGCTTTTCCGCATGCTTATCGGCCAAATGGCGCTCGACAACGTGCCTGTGATTCAACAGTTGATACTTCGTTTAATACTGGCTTAATGATTTACTTGGGTGAAATATCTAGACTACTTTTGATTTTTTAAAAAGCGTGCAGCTGTGCTATCCGTGATCGGTGTTGAAAATTTTTTTCATTCAATTTCAACATATCACTACAATTTACTTCCATAGTACATTAAACATCAATGCAGTGTACACTGTTTCCAAGTTATAAATAAATAAATAAATAAAAATATACAAAATTAGAGTCTAATTTTAAATAAAAAAATGCATTCAATAATTGGTGCTAGCAACTAAAAAACCTAAAAGCTGAAAAAAGCGGCAAACGACAGTTGATGAAGAAAAAAAAAAAAGGAATCGATGCAGAAGAAAAGTGATTGAAAGATGAAATATGTGAAAAGAAAGAAAGAGAATAATAATAGGCTCGTATCGCACGGGAAGGGGGAGCATAACAATGTCTGTCGGTGCGTTAAAAATTAACAAACCTGTGATAGTGATGGTATATGCAATGAGAACACTTGTAAAGTCGGCAATCGTGCATTTTTAAGTGAACACCCATTTTATCTAAGGCTATGTTTTGGCCGGGATCCTGGCCGTTCGGTGGTGGGCAGTGGGGGCACCGATAGTACACCTCGTCCGAGTGCAAAGCTTTCAAGTGATGCCGCAGCATCAATTCGTCCACGGATAAATAGTTGCATTCCGCAACGCCACAGACGTATCTGACAAATTGTACACACACATTGCAATTTCATTTGTCTTACGCTTAATTTATTGCACTCCAAAACTTGCGTTGTCTCTATACCTAGTATTCCTCAATTTTTTTTTTCTTCGATTCACGTGGGTATTTCACGTATCGTGATCCAGGAAAAAAATTATATGTTCTCGGGACAAAATAATGAGATAGAAGGACTTTGTTGTCTCGTAAGAAACATTTACGATATTAAAATTTTCTCGATGATTGTTTGTAGATAATAGAGCTTTGATGAATGGCTCCATGTAAGAAAAAAAGGTTGTATGATTAAGTTGATTACAATGATAAAGTGATAAGATGAAATGGACACATTAAAAACACTTTGGCACGAATGATTCTGTCTAATCTTTGGGACAGTAAGTACAAGGGAATCAGATTATATACTTTTCAAAATGATCTGTATGTATATAAAATTTTTCCTAGGATTCAATATTGCGATGTATAGTTGCTATTAATTTGCTATAAATTGAAAGTTGTTGTGACAAAATGTGGTTGAAATTATGTACATTAGTGGTTTTTTTTTTCCCCAACTCTTTAAGTAGTTGTGCAAGAAATAAAACTTGTTTCTTTTATTTTTACATTTGCATTATAGTTGTCTTTAGATAATAAACCACAATTAATTTGATTAAAATAACAATCAGAATGATTGAAAAAATAGAGAAAAAAAATGAAAATTAAAACGTACCTTCTATTTTCGGGAACGAATTTCGGTAGACCTTCGTCCTCTTCAGGCTTGCCCTCCTTTGGAGCAGGGCCTAAACCGCCGCTACCCATTCGACCGTTTTCGTGCGAACTACTCGCTAGATTAACCATCTTGTCAAACATGCGTTCCTTCTTATCGAGACAGGGCACCGGATTGACTGGACAGGCAGTGGGAACACTCTCGTCTTTGAGGTGAGCTTGCAAGTGCCGAACAATATTGGTACGCACTTTGTTGGTATACGAGCAGATGGCACACTGCACTGCCTTGTTAAAGATGGCAGGTAAAGGCAGCTTGTCGATTTCGCTCGGCAAAAAGCTCGTCTTCTCCTGCTCGGTGGGCTTCTCCGTAACAGTTTTTTGGCCCTTTTTACCACCCTTCACCTTGTCCACGGTCTGTAATAATTTTGAACGCATACTGTGTCAATTGGTGTCGATTGCATGTACTCTAGAAAATTTTCGGCAAACGTACCACCGGATGGATGTAGAAAACGCCATCGGTCGACGGATTCGTGGGATCGGCAGGCACAAACCTTGACGTGAGATATTTGTGCTTGAGACGTAGATGACACGTAGCCTGACTCTGTAGAGCAAATTTTGCATCGCATAAGATGCAGCCGAAACGCTTGACCCCATGTATCTTTATGTGGTCGATAAAGGAACTTGGCTTGACGAAGCGTTTGCTCTGCGGACCACAGTGCGGGCAATACAAAGCTGCGTCAGTGCCTTCCTCGGCACAGGGAAGGCACTGCTGCATGTGAGCGCGCAGCTCTTCCGCTGATTCGACACTGAATTGGCAATTCTCGACCCCACAACGGAACAAGTCACAACCCATGAAGCCAGTGTTTTTCACGTCGTCAAGAGTTAAGAAACGAACAGTGCTAGGTTCACCACTCTTTGAGGTGGTAGTAGAATGATCCGTACCGGTCGCGTTACTGCTGCAATTTTGCTCTGACTCGCTTGCTTTGTTCGAGTCTTCATCATCTTCGGTTGATGTCTCTTCCTTGATTTCTAATGTATTTGCAGTCGGCTGTTGCAAGTGAATAAATAAATAAATACCGTTGAAATAATTATGTTACAGTACAATTTTATGTTATTTTTGAAAAGAGATGAGTCGAAGCGATTAATAATGAATTCGAAGCATGTAACGTAAAATAACAACAACAACAGCAACAGCAGCGCTTAATTTCATGTTTTTATGATTCAATGACAGCAAACGAATGACACGTAGTTAAATGAAAACAATAAAAAAATCAAATCAGTTGGACACCCCTGTACCTCTTGCAGGTTTTTTATACTATCGCTTGGTTGAGTTCGGACTTCTAGGAACACGACATCGTTGTTGTCGTCATTTGAATCATCCGCACCGATTTGTTTTTTATTATAAAACAGATTGTAGCTACTCAAGTGGTTTTTTTGTAATAATGCTTCATCTAAGTTCAACTTTGGTATTTCGGCCAAAGCAAGCTACAAGAATTATTTGCATTCACAATTAAGTACATACATATGTTGACGAACTTGCATTGAAAATAAAAAAAGATATTCGCGTTTACCAAAATAGATTCCAGTGAAGTAAGCTTTAAATTTACCTAATTTTACATTCTTTTTTTTTTTTTTAATTTTTTTTCAAGAAAAAATTCACAAGTTTTCGTTTGCCAAAAATCTAACACTCACCTTAACGTTTTTTCCAACCTTGAGTAAATTGGTGGAATTGGCATTCAGACTGCGTGCACTTATAATACGAAAATTAGAAATACCGCCGTCACTATTGGTCGCGAGTTTTTCTTTGGGTGAAAGAATTTTGGTCGCCATGATCGGTGCACTGGGGATCACAGAAATTGCACTTGGAGTCTTTGATAGTGGTGGTATCGGTACTTTTGGATTGATATCGTCCTCAGGTTTACGCTGCATTACTTCTATGTCACGTACCCGTAACTGTTCGATCGCACTCAAGTTTTTCAAGATCTGTAGATTAGGTAAACAATTTTTATGTATAAAATGAAAGATTTTTGTATATAATTTCGCATTATGTTTTCGTATATATCAGGACTTTGACAAGGAGATAAATGCAAGGAAGGTAACCACGGAAATTTATGATAGGAGTATTACCTCACGAGGTAAACATCTCTCTAGAACTTGAGGTGGCTGGTTGTAATGAGCCGAGCTCAGATGAGATGCCAGTTCTTTCATATTGGCCGCACCATGAGCACAGTACAAGCAATGGTACTTGAAATAACCATGCTGCTTGTAGTGCTGAAATAAATATTTAAAGTTTACGTTGAGAGTTAACCACGGTATAAGTACACGGATGAGAAAATTATTTCAATTACTTCAATGAGAGCGTCTGTATTGGATGCTAAGACTACACAGATATGGCACTTGTAGCCAGAAATAATATTTTTATGATGCATATTCAGATGTAACATGAAGGCTTCCGGTATAAAAAAATACTTGTTGCACTCTGAAACAAAACGCATGTTCAATTACATCGATCAAGTTGTTAGATTGATATGGCTTTTGCTTGAAATTTGACTTACCATGAACGCACACGTATGGCTTGATAATTTGTTTACGATCGAGTCTTTTCGGAGGAGGAGGTGCGAGCACAAGTTCTTCGCTCGCTACGAGTATGTGAATTTTTTTTATAGGGTGATAACTTTTCTGTAAATACACACAAGATGAGCAATTTGAAAAATAACCAACTGATTACAAATAAAGAAACAAACAATGCTTGGTTAAAACATACCTGATGTATTTCGACGTAAGAATAAGCATAAGCCCTATAAAAACAGTACTTGCAGCAGTATCTGCAGAATATGTGCGTTGTCTCGAGATGTTGGACAAGATCGGTATAGTTTTTGCAGTTGATGTAGCAATAAGCACACTTGTGAAAATCTCTATACTCGGTATAACTTGATACATCAGATGATGACTCAATTTCGTGCATTTGTATGTGCCTGAAGAATATGGGCTCGGTGCTCGTTGTAAAACAACAATCTCGACCCATGCACTTGAACAAGTGTACAAGCTTGTCGTCGTTTAGCATTCTTTCGTAAACAACAGCGGATTTAAGCTTGATGGCAACGGGCATCTGTTCAGGTGGATTTATTTTTACCAGCTTGATTGGCTGTCCAGTCGAGGTGACGATAGTCGTTGTAGGGCTGTTGATAGCATTAGGCGCGGCTGATGATAACGAAGTCATTGTTTTCGGATCTAACTTGATCGATATCTGTCCACCAATGGACACATAGCTATCGGAAGGTTTGGCACTCGTACGAACTGCTGAGGGTATTGATATCGGGACAAGTTTGAGCGGCTCACCCGTAGAGCTTGTCAAGACTTGGCTTGTGCCATCTGCACGCTTGATGATGTATTGACTGGGTGCCTTTTTTAGCACCGGTAGACCGGCTATTGGCGGCGATGTTTCGACCGTTTGGCGCATATTAGGAACCTACGTTGATGATTAATTTTAAACAATCAAACATTACAGATCTAACGGATTTTAAAAAATATTAAAATTACGTACAAATTTGTTGACACCGTCCTGTGGAGCAAGACTCACGACACTTTCAATTCTAAATCCGAAATTCGAGTCGTCTTCTGCGTCTAGGGGTTTCATGGTAGCCATTGTCTGGTCGGTCCCTGTAATAACGTATTTATCCAGTTATTTGTTAGGTGTCATTGACAAAAACAAAGAAATAATTCGCTGGAAATTTACCGTTATTTGATTCGCACTCTTGGTCGCCTCCCTTGGAAAGTTTATCTCCACTTATTCTCCTGATTCTAATGAAAGTCTTAGGAGACTGAGCAGTTTGCTTCGAAGCAGCTTCTTCAGTTGCTTTAAGCCCATTATCGTTTGCCTGGATAAAACGAAACATATACATACATACATAGTGTATATTAAGCAAAGTTAGATACACATGCGAAAATTAAAATAATGTAAATTCAATTAATTTACCGTTAGCGATCCCAGCTCCGCATGGACTTCAGTCTTAATAGTTGTTTGCGATGTAACAGCCATGTCGTCTTGTTTTTTTGGAGAAGTCTGCTCCGTTTTTACTTTTACAGAAGCCCCATTTCCGACATCCGTCATGACCATTTCGGGCTCAGGCAGCGGCGGAGTTTCCGGAGGCTTGGTCTGCAACTGTGCCGCGAGTCGCTGAATCGTCGTCATCATACGACCCTTGGAAGGCGAGCCTATTTTATTCGTATCTTGCAGAATACTGCTGACGTCGGGAGTGGTAATTTCGTGATCCGACTGATCAGACTCGGAGTCGTACTGAAGCGGAGGAATAACGTTGGGATCGCTGTCATCGTCTTCGCTCACAACAGTCTTTCCGGTGGATTCATCGACGAAAGCTAAAGGATCCTTTATTTTGTTACTGGCCTTGTCATCTTTTTCTCCTGAAACAACAGTAGAGTTTTCTGGATCCTCTTTGATCGGCCTAGTTTCTTCCAAAATCTGAGGCTTCGATTCCTCCGTTTGAGCATCCACCGTGGGTATCCCGATCTTCTCCTCGGGAATACTAAGCGGATCCTGACTTTCTTCCATGGAAGGACTCTCGTCCATCTCGATTTTTTCGGGAACAGTAGTTTCGATCTCTTCAATAGGCATAGCAGTTTCTTCAATCTTGTCCTTGAGTTTGTCGATGATGGAAAGTCGTTTTGGAGTCTCTTTCTCTCCAACTTTGATGCCAATGTTTTGAGCGATCTCTTGCATCTTTTTTTTGCGCTCGTTTTGAATCTCTTCTTCTTTTTTGGTTGCCACTTCGTCGGGGCATACGAACGCGCTCAAGTTACTGCTCTTTTCGGGCTTATGTTCCACCAGTTCCAGCGTAATATTGAGATCGGGGTCTTCTGGAGGAAAATATACCTTCTCAGGCACGCTGACGTCACAAGCTGCCGAACCGTCTTCGTCACCTTCAATCTGAAATTCTTCCTGCATCGATGTTTCGATAGGATCATTTTCGATCTTCGGTTCAATTTCTTTTACAACAGCAGTATTGACAAAATTCGTCGATATTTGAACATCTTCTCGCTTCACGCTGATTGACATGTCGATTTTCATGATTTTGACATCAAGATCTTTATTTATTCTCGTGTGCCATAGTCTCACGTGCTTTTCCACGTTACTTTTTTTCAGTTGAAGAAAATTGCAATGCGTACAGATGTAGCCGTAAATTCTGTTGTCCACCGGAATCGTCGTCTCAATAATCGCTTCGTTCAAATTCATATTTGAGAGCTTGCGACACTCTTTGTAGAAATGCGTGCGTATCGAGCCCTTTGTCACAGCCTCGTAGTTGCATTGCTGGCACATGAAACGATATTCACCCGTGTGGTTCGTACAGTGTTCGTAAAACGATTCACGGGCAACGATATCCACGCCTTTTGTCATGAAGTTACAAAAGCGACAGATGTATCTGCCAATGTCCGCATCAGGTGGTGGATCATTATTCTCCAAATCCAGCCTCATGGACTCTTCGCACGCTAGAGTGGACTCTTCTGCCGGTAGACGCGATATCAGCACTTCTTTCTTCGGATGCTGTATCTTGTAGTGATGTACGATGTTTTTGCGGTAAAATCTACACAGCAGGCACTGGTGCTTTCCTTCGGATTGGGTATATCCGATCAAAGCGTCAGGATCAACGCGCGATATTACTTCTTCTTCATCTTGAGTGGTGCTCATAGTGTTCCAACCAGGATCTTCCGACTCGTCAGCGTTATCTTGGAGCTCTAAAGAGTTTTTTGTTTTTTTCGACGATACTAATGCGCCATCACTTGCAGCCAGATCGTTTTCATTGGTCACAGATAGATCCGAGGTCGAGCCGTGCACATCGTCGCTCTTGGCTGCTGCTGCTGGTGTTTTCTTTTTCTTCTTTTTCGACACGATACCTGTTGCAATTTTTTAAACAAACAAACATTAAATTTAGCAAAAAATAAGCACATAAATTAACTAGTTTTGGAATAACTTTGCCCTCTAATGCTCACATTTTTGCCAATATATAGATTTAACAACGTTTCATTCGATTCATCAAAACGTATACAAAACATACCCATTTGCCAGTTACTTTTCTTCTTTTTAGTTTGTTTCTTTTTAGCCACTGAATACTTAGGATTCGAAGCCAACTCTGCCATAACGTTATCAAGTAGTTCTTCGTTTGATTCGCGTGATTTGGCTGTTGTATCCACCAGACTTTCATCAGAAGACGATTCCGCAGCTAGATTTTGATAAATTTTTTATTTGAAGAATGGGTAAGGATTTTTTACTTTTACTTTTTTTTTTTTTTCAAAGGATCGTAAGCATGGAGGCTGATGAATGACGGTATAATTACTTGTCCGTATTATTTGTCGTTGAATGAAATTTAGTAGCAATAGCAGCAGTATTAGCAATGTGAGCAATTAAGAGGACTATTCGTGACAAGTTACCTGTATCTGTCGTTGCCTTCTTTTTCGATTTGGTCGTTTTTCTTCCCTTGGCTGTTTTTTCAGTTGGATTGGTCTCAGGGTGCAGTGAAATATCTGTAGAAGGTTCAACTGCCGAGGCGTCAAGATTAAAGCTGTCATTGGACGAGCTGTCAAAAAGCGGCGGAGGCTGAACTTTGACAGCTTTAGCTCGCGTCTTTTTAGCAGTTTTGGGAGACGTATCTTTCTTTGATTTGCCATCGGCGTTTATATTTTCGGATCTAAACGACAGGGGAGTATCATCATCTTCGCTGTCCGAAGTCCCGAGGCAAGAGGTCAAGCTTGCCTCGGACGCAGCGATAGCAACAGCTGTGGCTAAGGCGGCAGCCTTTTTACTCTTTGGGCCCGGTTTGACTTTAGGTGGTAGAGGCTTCTTCATCTTACCTGTTTTTGAATTTAAAACATTGAGAAAGTCTTTCGAAAGTTTAATCGACACATTCTTAAGCAAACCTGAAAATACCGATTCAATGTTGTTTCATAAGGTGATTTAATTTTTTTTTTTTACAATCGTTAGACGTGCATTATTTCTAGTTTTCTAAACTATTGAATTTTTATTTCTTTTTTTTTCGTGTAAAAAAAAAAAAGAAAAAAAAAGAATAGAAAATCAGAACAATAAAAAAGTTGTAGTACCTACCTATGTTTTTTGCTGTAGCAGCAGATATACCAGGTTGATCTTCCGTCGATTTTTCTTGTACCTGCTCCAAGTCTTTATTTCTCTGACTACACATACGACTGCCAGTAGCTCTCATGGCACCATCACATATCCAGCTGGACTTCAAGTCTTCCTGTAAAGCATCGAGTTCGCGAGTCCGACGTTTTGGCTTTGGTTTAGCAGGTGCTTGGACAATTTTTTCTTCTTCCGTAGCAACAGTAGCAGCTTCCTCCTCTCCTTCGGCAGCTACTACTTCGGATTCTGGTTCTTGCTCGGTTACTACAATTGTTACAGAAACTATAACTTTCAAATACTTGAAGTAGGTAATTAAAAATCAAGTACTTACCGGGTAGATCGTTACCATCGTCATTAGGTACATCATTTTCCATTAATAGATCAGCGAACGTTTCTTCATTCTCTCCCGCATTATCTTTTTCTTCTGCCTCTGATTCATCACTGATTATTTTCCTTAATGCACCAGTCTTCTTTTTCTTTTTTTCTTTATTCTTTTCTAGTTTCTTTTCATTTTCAGACTCGTCGGATGATTCAATTACTTTCTTTGAATGTTTTTTCTTTTTTGATGTTTTCTTTGTTTCTGATTTTTGCTTGTCACTGCTATCTTCATCTTCGTCATCAGACAAGTATATCGCAGGTTTTTTTTTCTTTTTTAGAGTTGTCATCATTTGATTGAAAATGATTGCCATGTCTTCGCTTGAAAGGTTTTTAGCAGCCGCAAGTTCTTTCAATCCGTCAATTTTGTCGATATCTGTCAGTTCATCCAGAACATCATTTTTATGTTTGTCTTTTTTACTTGTTTTTTCTTTTGCGCCTGACTTGGATGATTTTTTGGATGTACTACTCTCCGACTGTTTCTCACTGGTATCGTGAGTAATCAATACATCACTCTCTTCTACATTTTCCTCGGATGCCTAAAATATATTCAAAATTTCAGTCGTCGCAAAATACAAGTTCACCGGAATATATTAAATATATTAAATTTAAAGTATGAATGTCATATCAATAACAAATATTGAAAAATAATATTGCTACTCACAGCTGCGGTATCTCTAGCATCATAAGAGGGTCTCTTTTTAGGAATTTTAAACTTTTGCAATCCAGATCCTTTAACAGCTTTCTTTGCATCTATGGTGCCATAGATGTCTGTCAATTGAGGCTTATTCGAGCTTTTAGATTTCGACTTTGATTTTTCACCGTGTTTATTTTTATCTTTATCCTTGTGTTTATCTTTATCTTTATCTTTATCTTTATGTTTATCTTTATCTTTGATTTTATCTTTCTCCTTTTCTTTGGTTTTTTCCTTTACGACATCAGTCTTACCAATATCCGGACGTTTTTTTGAAACTTCTTTTTCAGGCAATGGCTTGGATTTATTTGGATGTGTGTCTTTCTCGGATGCTTTGAACGGAGCGGGTGTTTCTTTAGGAGGTATTGGGGGAGTAGAAGGTCGCGGAGGATCGGGTCGCGTTCTCGGATCCCTGTCCGAAAACATTCTTGGATCTCGATTTGGTCTCTGAATATCTTTGTTCCAAGAGTTTGGTGGTCCGCCAGGCCTTCCGAACGGTGGTCTACCAGAGAATCGCTCGGAATCGTTCACTCGATTATTCCAAGAAGGCCTTATCTGGGGCTGGTGCTGTTCGTAAGGCATATTGTATGAAGGCCGCGAATCTTGGTAACCTGCGCTTCTGTTCTGACCATAGCTCGTGTTGTTGCTCATCACGTTTTGCATGTGTGAATCATTCCGACCCTAGTTTAAAGAAAATAATTTTTTTTTTTTTTCATTAGGGATGGTTACTCAATGCAATCGCTAAAAAAAAAAATATTTATGCAAACTATCACTAAATTTAAATTAAACATTGAATAAGGGATTAGAGCCTTTAGATTAATAAATAAATAAAAAAATGAGAAAAAAAAAATTTAAGGATGAAAAGTTATATATACCGTGTTGGGTGGCATTTGATTAGAATATGAATGACCCATTCGGGAATCGCCATTTATCATTGAATGAGGCTGCATGTGTTGCCAACTAGTTGACTGATTTGACATTTGATAAGGTTGCGCTGTAGTTTGTTGTTGCATGCGTGGATGTTGATTCCACTGCTGTTGCTGTGGAGGAGCTCCCATCCAATAATCGTAACCCATCTGATTGGACGATCCCATTTGTTGTCCGTAAGTTAATGAAGCTGGAGCAGAACTTGGACCTGAAAGTTGTCGAATAAAATATTTTCAAATTAAACATTTCTTTAGTAAAACTAGTCAAGTTAAAGAATTAAATATTTTTACCTGGGCCGTGTACGGGTGGCGGCACCATCGTAGGAATGGCTTCCTGATTATACTGATGCCTTTGGTAATCGGGGGGCATTGATGAATCCGTTATTCGCTTATGACGCTCATAGTTGTCAGCGTACCTAGCGCCCGCAATACTTTGGCTACGTGGATCCGACGAAGGCACGACCGAGTGATTTCGCGGATCTCCCTGATTGCTAGCTAACCGTGGATCACTATTGATCACTGGTGACACACCGTAACTGCGAGGGTCACTGCTGTTTGGACGTGAGCGTGGATCACTTTGAACTCTGTCCCGAGAATAAAAGAAAAATCGTATAAATCTATACAACAGCAAAAACGTAAAATAGCTCTACAGTGTTATTGGAACCATGCATACCTCGGCTCTGGATGAGGGGTCAAGATGGTATTATCCGACCTTGGACTGAGCATACCAGGCGAGGGATTGGGCACGTGCGCCATTCGTGAGGCCGGCCTCGGACCAGTAGGCAGATGTTTGGCCATACCCTCGGACCTTTTGAGACTACTATCATCCAAAAACTCGGATATATCATCAAGAGAAATCGGCATTTTTGAGGTGGTCATAGGTGCGTTGAGTAGTAACGATGGGGTAGTCGGTACTTTCGAGGTCAAAGGTGCCGGCATGTCCCGTTTCGGAGGTGAAAACGTAGAGGGTGGTGGTTCATGAAGAGGAGGAGCAGGTGGTTTTTGAAAGAAATCTGGGTTGGGTGAAGCCATGACTTCATCACTGATAGGCAAGCCTGGATAATGACGACTAGATAATATGCGATTTAAGTCTGAGTTTAGGTTGAGGATATTTGTTTTTTCAATGACTGTCTTGAGTCGACGAGATCCACCCAAAGAGTTAACGGGCACCGTGGGTATGTTTTGCGATGAATGGTTGATTGGCTCAATATCCCATTTTACTGTAAAAAAAAAAAAAAAAATGAGTTTGAATTGTAGAGTGTATTTTTACCAACTGGATGAGAGTAGATTGAGAAACTAAGACTAACTAGGTTTAATCTCATCTTTTCTCGATGTCTCCCTCCTCTGAGAGTCTCTTGACGTTAAATTATCCATTGCTTTTTTAGTAGCAGTAACCACGTCTGGTTTACTAGGTACAATGATCGGTGGTCGAGGTTTTGGCGCTACTTCACACTCATCGTCCGAATCCCAATCCAGAGGACCAATATCCTTCATATTGGTTCTTGGAATGGGGACAATTTTTAGTACATCAAGGGCGGGTGACGGGCTTCTGTTTCTAAAAAAATCCGTAACGGTATCTATCTTCATAGGTTGGATAGGTACAAAGCGAGAATGCCGCTCTAAGGGAATAACTTTAGGTGCAGAGTCGTGTGAGCTTGTTGAGTGTGCTGGACTGTGCGGTGGACTTGGCGACGCAGGTGTGTCATCGAACACCTTTTTCGAGCGATCAATGTGGCTGCTAATGCTACCATAGCTGCTTCCTGATCCTTGCGATTCTCCATGGCTAGAAAAACGCATTGGAAAAGTCTTTAGACACAACTTTAACATAGTATTTTCACGCCATAACTAACAGTACAACCACACATAAATCAATTTTTTAAACAGTCAATTGTATTAAATGTCTCTATTGAATGTGGTCTCAAGTAACTTGTATGTGTGTAATTAATCCTACATTTACACAATTGAGTTACGAGAAAATATCCAACTGAGTTCAAATTCGGTAAATAATTTTGGGTTCAAGTTATAGCATTTAGAAAGGTTTCATTTATAGGGTAAAAAAACTTCTAGCCAAGATCTAAAGAAAAATAATGTTTAACTAGACTACTAAAGTGAATGATTTAAAATTTATCTTTTACTTATAATAGTTAAAAATCGACGCAACGTGACTAAAAAGTAAAAATCAAAAATTATATTTGTATATTTTTGAAGTATACTTTTTAGTGAGGAATTTTTTTCTTTGTAAATTCATCTTAACATTTTAAAACATACTTTTTTTTTTTTATTTCAAGAAAGAGAACACGAAACTTCCAAATTTTAAAATACTGCAAATTATTTGTGCATAATATGATGTTATGTTCTGATTAAACATTTTGCTTTAGCAGTGAATATAGCAGTATATCGGTAGAACATTCTGGAACGCAGCTTTGTAATGAATAAAATAAAAAATCAACTTACCCTTTCGATAATTTATCCAGTTGTTGGCATGTTTTATCATACCTGTCCTACAAATTATTTTAATATTATTAAAATTTTGCAGAAAATTTAATGGCAGTTAAATCAAATTGTTTATTTACCTGCTGTTTGTGTTTTTTAATAATTTCTTCAAATTTATCCCAGGTAGAAAGAGTAATTCTAAAAAAAAAAAAAAAGTGATTTATCATCGACAATTAACATCGAGTCATTAACGATTTTCTTATTTTATCAAAATCTTACTTTTTTGGAGCCTGCGTATCACACAGTAATCCATGGATCGTTGTCAACCTTTCGATTTTTTGGTTAATTTTTTCATCGGGAAATGTATTCTTAAATCGAATTTCTTTCAAGCTTGCTATCTTGTTCTCCAAATATGGACGATAACGCTGCAGGTCTTGAAATTTTCTCGTGGAACTATCCATCTTGATATTATTTTCCACTTAACTGACAAAAAAAAAGAAATAAATAAAAATAAACAAATTTTAAAAATACACAAAAATTACTTTTTCGATATTTTATACCTAGTAAATGATTTAAAAATAAAATCGTACTATTATATTTATTACAACTATAACGCACATGTGTATGGTAAATCCTTAAATGTGCATATGAAATTATAATTTTAATGATTTCCACCCCAAAAATAATTTAACAATATCATAATTATGTATGACACCTTTTTTTGCCATACAAAATGATGTTAACATTTTATGGGATAAAAAAGTCGATATTTCTCACGTATACATTTATCAGCAATAAAAACGTCTCCATGAAGCTATTGATGATAAATAGGATATCCTAATTAATTATGTAATCAATGACACTTGACGGAAAAAAAAAATAAAAACAAAACCAAAGTATAAGAAACCTGAATTTACAAGACGACATAGCTATTGTGTCGACTAGAAAAAGATAACTGAAATAATGCCTCGAGACGTGCACGTTGTTGTCATTTCCAATGTCTTTGCAATGATATTTCGTTTTTTTCCGAATCATAATTTGCACTTTGAGACACGAGTTTTAATATCATGTCGAATTATGGCTTGGCTTGAAAACAAAAAAGGGCGAACAAAGAAAGGGTCTCGCAGTTGGTGCTGTACACTTATGGCTCTCTGGTCTTTGCGTCGGTCTATCGATCGCTGGTTTACTCAGAGGCTCAGGCAAAGAGGGGAAGCGTTTGGACAAGTTGGGTAATTACATGAAAACTCTCAGAGGAGCGTGTGTTTTTTGTCCGAAACTCGGCGTTTAAATTTAACGGCACACATCCAATATTATTCGGGATTGTACACAACTAGTTTAACTTAACGCACAGATATTTTTTTTTTTTTTTTTTTTTTTTTTAATAGAAAAAGTTGGAAAAATTTTAGCTTTTTCCTTTATTAAATTATCAGAACAATTTGAAACTGACTAGTAGGACACGTCCGAAAGTAATCGTTCATTGTATAATTTACAGTTTAAATTGAATACGGAGCGAAGGAAATTTAATGTATCGAGATTTAGTACAGTCTAACTTTAATGCAAATGCAAAAAAGGTATGAACAATGAAGTAACATTTGCTATTAATTGCACATTTCTCATGTGATGTACATCATAACGTTTATCTTTGTTTAATTAATTTTGAAAAAGAGCATATAACAAAGTAATTGTCTATTAAATTTACTTTACAAAGATATGGATTGTTATGATAGCGGGACTGGTCGATGTATCGTGTATCGGGACCGCAAAACAGCAATACTTAACTTGACAAATACTAAAGAAGTTATTCACCTAGTCAGTGTGAATAATGAATAATTGAATTAAACTGATTGTTTAGAATTCGTCGCATCATAAATGCGTGAACAATGGAAAATGTTAACTTTTGAGATACTTTTGGCACAAAAAGGTTCATAAGCTTCTAAATATTAATAATTGTAAATAAATATAGAGTAGGCACTATACTTATACCTATTGCGTGATTTTCTACCAGGTGCTTTTAGGTCAGGACGGGTTACGCCATATTTACGCAAGTTTAACCTCAAAAAATCTACAGCTGTATACAAATTTTTTGTTCAATAAACAAATGAGTTTTATGGCATACTGTCGAAAAGTTTATTCTTGATTCCGAAAAAATGTGTACAACGTTTCGGTTGTATACTGACAACCCTTTTCGAGTAAAAAATACGCAACGTCCAATATTCACTCAAAATAAATACAACAAAAGTTATATTTTGCCAACTTTGTCAAAATAACAAACTAGTTCTGCTTGCATACATGTATAGCAAGTTAAGAGTCAAAATTAAGAGTCGCGGGAAGCTCTTATGATTTGACTAATTAAAAACAACTTGTACACGATTTTCTCATCTTGTCGAAAAAACAACCTAAAATCATCGAGTGCTTGAATGAGAAAACAGCGATTTTAATGCTAATTACTTTAGACTTATTTATTAAAATTATCTTTCGTAATGAAGTAAGATTCTACTATAGTACGAAAAAAAAAAAAAAAAAATTATTTTCATGGGCTCTCATTTTTCATTCCAGAAATGATTACACGGCAACACATCATACGAAGGAATATAGAATTCATGCTTGAAACTTGGCTACTTACAAGATATATTATTTAACTAATAACCCAGCAAACATTTTGTTTGAAGATAGGTGGCTCCAGCGCCTAGTGCCGTATCAAAATGGGGAGACTAAAAATTAATCATTATTTTCTTTAAAATATGGTATAAAATTATCGTAGACTGTTGTAAGCCATATTCTACATTTTATCTGTTACTTTAGTGAGTTAATATGAAAAAAAACAAAAAAGTTTTATGGTGCCCTAATTGATGAACTGTTACGGTACGCTCATAAGTTCAAGAGTAGTTATACCTATATATATGTACTCTGCAGAATGCAGACAGCTGAGAGTTGACTTGCACTCGCAACTGTATAGTACTTAGTCTCCGATTATTTAAAGATTTTGTTCGATAACAAGACACTTTTCTCATGTCATCGAAAACTGCGTAATAATATATACAAGATAGTATATTTTTTACACCTTACGGGTTATTTATATAAGTGCAGCAGTAGGTTGTACATCGCGTAAGCTTGCATTTCCTATCTAACCCGTCTTAAAACTACGATTTTGTAAGCATGATTTCTTACAATTTTTATCGTCAACCTTAATTTTTTTTTATACGAATATAAAGACGGGAATTCAAAGAATATAATTCAATTTTATTAACCTTGGTTAGGTTATTTATAATTTTAAAATTGAGGCCACTGGAGCCACCTTAATGAACAACTGACGCTATCAACGAGATTTCGTTAGAAAAAAAAGTAGTTTTCGTACCACGGGTGTAAAATGCTGCATTGCGCCCGTGGGCACACTTTAGACTCGGAGGGGTAAACATGAACGAAAATATAGTATCAAGCTTCAACAAAAACGATCAAGTACTGTGTACATGATCTCAGGAATAACTAATGATTTTTCTAACTAATTCCCTATCAATCAAGCGACTACAGGCGATTTGACATTCTACTGGGCAGCGATATGCCGCCTACTTGAGTAACTGCACGGGACGTTTATACATTGTATCTTATTACAATCAGCATTTTTCTTTGAGCAGTGACCGACTCGTCCGAACAGAAGTAAAGGTCAAATTAAAGGTTTTCCGATCAACTGATAACATGAAAAGCCTACGAGTGATGATTGACGCACCAAGTAAAAGAGTTTATATCAAAAGAGTGCCGGTTAATCGAAACTAAAAAATAAAGCATTAACGTGCTGTCAGAATTTTGCCCAAAAAAACCAAAAATACTCAAGAATTGCATTAAGCCTAAAATTTAAGGCCGTTACTGAAATTTTACTTCATGAATTAATTTTAACGGATCGCAGTAAGAAATTTTCAACTTGTACGTGCAACACTTAATTACTAATGAATGTGATCTTTCGAAAACTTTACTGATAAAATTTTGGCCCCGATTGGAAAAGCAATATGGCGCAATTCTGTATCTTATGTTGTAATTTCGATTGTTATCACGTAGAAACAAGCACAAAAAAAGTATTAATTTAAAATTTGAATAAATGTATTTTTATCACGTAGATATCAGTATTTAAAAAGTAGTTATTGGATCGTCCCTGCGGATCACATTCACAATATTCTCAAGTTTCTGCAATAATTACTGCATGTAATGAGTTTTGTTAGCTCCAAAAAGATGAGTGCTTCGATCTAAGTCTTATTTTATAATTGTAAATTGTGGTTAAAACGTTCTTATTTTTTACAATAATTAAGAATTTTAATGAACTGTGTAGAGTATACAGTACTTAAAAATTCTATGGAAGCTCACAACTTAAAAATTAGTTGAAAATCCATTACTTATGAAATGAAAGAGCTACTAGTGACGTTTTTACTGTGGTAAAGGTAGTTTTTAATTATAAGGCTATGTTGGCTAGAGGCTTTGTATTAAATTTTTCGTTTTTGCGATTAATAAAAAGTTTTTTCAAGTCCATTTTAGTCTTAGGCAAGTTCAATAATGTAACCGAAATTACATCGGTATAGTAAAATTAATTAAATTACGACGACGTAAAGAGATAACGGTCCTAGCTATTTAAAGGGGCTCTTTCATGGAAGTCCCCAAAAAGAGATGTATCATTTCTAATAGAAGAATATTCGCTGAAGAAATAAATAAATAAATTGTCGTGTCCAGAAGTTCATGAGGTTACGGGGGTAGCAGACATACTGACTCACTTTGCCGCGCGAGATTAGAAAAAGTTAAAACTTTACGGGTTGAAGTTTGTACCCGTTATTATTTGTAATGAAGGAGTATATAATTAGAAAAATACTGTTATGATAACTTTTAGTTTCATAGAATTTTTATAACCTACTGGTACGGAACATAATAGGTACAGTAGAAAGGCGATATACAAACAAGAAATACACAGTCACTGCTATACCGACCGACACACTGCTGTACCTGTCTGCACTGGACTGATCAAAACAAAAATTCTTTACGTAAACAGTAAAAGTATACAAAAAAAATTATTTTATTCACTTCTTATTTGATTAAAAATAGCATAATATTTTTTAGACACACATATTTGTTGAAAAAAAAAAACTTGATTTTTTTGTATTTTACCTCAGTGGTAGTCGCAGGAGCCCCATAAAGCAAATGAGTAAAGAACGTAATCGAAAAACCTTCGAGTTTGAAACAAAATACGTCGTAAAAAAGTTTTCATAGAAAACTTGAAGCCCTATAATCGTGTATTCAACTATTTTTCACAATGTGTGAAATGTATTTATTTTAGTTTATTCATTCAACGTTTCCATACGTTTCTTTTTGTTTCGTACCGTCTTCGTGGTTAGATGGCTAAGATGGCGCTCTTCCAAAATAGATGGCGCAATATATACGTATAACTTGAATTGTCATTTTGTGACAGCTTTAAGAATATAAATGCATGCTATCGTATATTTGAAGCCGTAAAAACTTGTCAGAATTTTTTTTTTTTTAATCAAATGGCAGATGCACCATTATTGATATATTCAAAAATGGGTTCATCTTTTTATCTCTATAAAATAAACGCTTAAAAAGTAATGTTATAAGGCAATGGCTGTATTCCGCAAATGCTGCCAGCAGTTAAGTTGCGTAGGTCTCGGTAACGCCGCATGGTCGGGCGGCGCTAGCGTCAACCTGTACTAACTGTCGGTGGGTTCCACATGTCAAAAAACTTCGATATTTTTTACTGTTTTCGCTCCCATGCCATCCGATATTTCGGAGTTTGTTGACATGCGGAATCCACCGACAGTTAGTACAGGTTGACGCTAGCGCCGCCCGACCATGCGGCCTTACCACGACCTACGTAACTTAACTGCTGGCAGCATTTGCGGAATACCCGAATACAGCCTATTTCCTATAAGTATGACAAGTGGCGCCCTCAAGAAATTGACCTGTACCCCTTTAAAGAAACGTATCTATACCCCATCATAGGCGTTTCGATCGATTTTCGTATCCCTTCGAACTACGTTGTCATTTGTTTCATTGAGGCTCACAGAGTGGCGCACTTAATGAGTTACTTTCGAATGTGTGTAAATTATCTCAAATACCAATAACTTTTTTTGAAATTCTTTCGTATGTTGTTTCGACCATTTCATAGTGCGATGATTTATCAAGATTTTTGTGTCAATGTCGTCTAGTAGAGTCAAAATCAACCGTGTACTGGTTGAAAAAAATTTTGGGCTCAGACAAACACCACGAGCGTGGTCTGGTGAGAGATTTGGCAAACCAAGAGTAGACTGTGCGCACACTTTTTCGCAAAGTTTTGGGTGCTTAAGTTTTTTATGATTGTTCTATTGCCTTTTATTAGAATAATTGTTTCAATTATATTACTGATGAAATACTGTTATAGGTTATACCCAGCTAGACTAGACAATGATTTGGACGGCACTACTTCCAATCAAAAACATTTGAATTTTGGTAGAGAATATTGTTTTATTATTAAACAATGACAATTTTGCGGTACGCTATCAAATATTTTCAACGATTGTAGAACCGAAAACTTAAGCTTACACAAATTTACAATCTAACAACAGTACTGTTTATACTGCTACGCGCGACTTTAAATTTTTTGTTACGAAAGAGCACTTGGTAGTTAAATGAAAAATTTAACATAATAGTTACAAGAAGTAACTCTTGAAGTAACGATGTGAAAGAGTGCGCAGAATTTTCTCTTTGCCGGATTGCGAAAGCTATCACTAGATAGCGTTCGTGGCGTTTTTTGGAACTAATGCCTTAATCATATCGATTCCTTGAGGAAGAGGAATCTTAGTTTCACTTCGAGCACACCGACGCCATTTTGTAAGATACAGACTTGCTGATTTCGCTAACGATGGTCACTGAAGAATCAACACGTCTGGCTATCCACAACGATTGACTCGGCTAAACCTCCAGATGCCTGCTCAATTGATACATTACTGCATCACGAATTGACTCCCAAAATAAGTATGCATTCAAGTAATGGAAATGATAGCCTACCAGTGTATGCTCACAAAGAAATGAGGAATTTATTGAATATCCGATTTTTCTTCGTATGTGCACTAATTTGGATTCTTCGCATCGTAGCTTTGATTGTGTTCTCGCTGTGCAGGTTTCGAATCGCAACAAAGGAGCGCCATTGTGCGTATGGAGTATTGGTATCAAACAGTGAAAATGGCTTCTTTCGCGCGTGGGTACACCAGACTGCCTATTACTGTTCTCAAGAGGATGAGACGGACTACTGATGTGCGCGCGTCTCATCCTCTTGTTCGCGAGGTAAGCCGGCTTTGATAGCCGACAGGCGGCGTTGGAGTAGTTTGCCGTAGTGGAATCCGATTGGCTGGGTCTACGTCGCAACACATGTGTACGCGGTCGGATCAAGTCGCTGACCTATGAGCGACTTCGTTTTGTTTTCCACCAACTTTTCATTCCGAAGAGAAGTTCGAGGCGCACGCGCAGAAAGTAATGTGGTGTGGAGGATACGCAGTTCTCGACACGATTTCCTGTCCCCTCTTCACACTTCCGGTGATTTCCTACTCTAATATATTATTAACAAGTACGGTTTGGTGCGAAATAGCATGAAATTTCGTGTGTTTATACTTCACAGTTATTCCAGCATATTTCAACTTTTTTAATCCACTACCACAATTACTTGTCAAGTTTCAAGGCACAAGTTTTGTTTGTAAAAGATGTACTTGATAAAAAATGTTCTGACGAGTATATATTTATATTAAGAATCATTTGTCATTTCTTAGATCTTAGAAATCCACATAGCGGATTCTTTTTTTAATCCATGACACATGCATATTTTTACATCCTTACAAATTACAAATTTTACAGTTTATATTTTGCCAAAGATTTATGCATTTCACTTGATAAAGTTGATTCGCTGTCTCGTTCACTGTATATGAATCTTGATTTACGAGAGGATCACTATTTTTATAACATATGCACATTTCAGGTGTTTCGATAAATGCACACACACGACAAAGTACACATCACGAACTTGCATAACTCGAGTAAAAGAGTGAAACGATAAAAAACGTATATATATATATATATATATTTACCTGTTTCGTGCAAAAGAACTCAGGCTTATTTTGTGAGTTTTGATATTAGTTCCCGCGTGGATTGACTTCTGGTCCTAGAATCTTGATGTAATTCCAACGCAGCTGTCATTTTTTTTATTCTTCTCCGTTGTCTAATGATTTTCAGCAACCTGCATACAACATCAACGTTTCTCGTTAATAGAGTCTTGCAAAAACCTTGATGCAGTTAGTTTTTTTTCCCCTCCTGCATTATAACAGGCGTGGACAAAAGTTTTAAGTTTACTAGATTAGAGAGGAGCAGAGGAAACGAGAGAGAGAGAGAAAGAAAGGAAGATTGTGTGGATGCAAAGAAAAAGAGCTTTGAACTGACCCAGTATGGCGTCCGGCTACATTTTTGCACCTATGCCTATAAGTAACTATGTGTGATGCTCGAATGTAACGTGTTAATCAGTTGCGGAGTACAGTACTCAAAGAAAAAAATGATAGATGGTATCCCGGGACAACAAAATTATTTTATTTCGGTCTAAATTATTCAGCCAACTTCGCCTCGCTTGTCCATTGTTCACTACGTAGGTATATTTGTTTTGTCAGTACGATATTGCAAAACAGTCGTAGACATTGGTAGTCTGCCATTTTTCAATAAAAATGAAAACTGCATTTGCAAATAACTATTTGTGCGCGCTTGGGGACAGTAATAGGATCAAGCGTTGAAAATCAGCTTACCTACACAGAATTTGGTCTCTTAACAGACGAGATTAAAGAGTCAAGATAACTTGCCTTAAAAACTATGAATCACTAATGTTACTCGGGATGTTGCATATACCTATCAGTTTTTTGGTACATGATCCATTTGCTTGTGCAAGGTAGGTACTGAACATTTAGAACAGTATATTCACAATATCCTTTCACTTTACAGTACTTCATGCATTATACGAATAACGATACACTTCTGGGTAATCCTTGGGCAAAAAAAATAAAATAAAAAGATGAAAAAAACGAGACTTTGCTGATATGTAAAGACTAGGCCTAATCCAAAAAATGGAATGAAAATGAATAACTTGTGGTCGTCGTATAATATATGTAGCTGTGGAAAACGATAGTCAAACGAATTTACTGTGTAGATGCCTCAGCGCCTGGTGCACAGCTGCACACGATAAATCTGAAAGGGAAATTCTTTCTTCCGGCTCCTATACGACAACGACAGCAACTCGCGATGAACTCGACGAGAGAGAGAAAGAGTTAAATGAAGCTACTATACGGTTTACGGTACTAGGGTACTACCCAATAAGTACGCACCTATACAAGTGCGCGAATGAGTGACAACGTAAGCTGCTTACTGATCAATATTACGAGAAATGCCGAATGCACGGATATAGTAATGCCAAAGCAAAAGTGAGCAACGAAGAGTTCTGTCCGTATACCTCTTACCATCAGTCTCGAGTCTCGAGTCTCGAGAACGACACAATTAATCACACACACGCGCGTGCACGCAGCATAGAAGATACTTTAGGTGTATATAGTATGCGTACACCCTATTACGCCCGCGTGGCATCTATTCTATATGCTTACGTACTCTCTTACAAACGCACGAACACCCCAGCAGTCACTTTCAATAAATAAATGTGTAGTTGCGAGAAAAGGTACGCTGCAATTTTTGTGCAAATACAGCGGAACCTCTGAAAATTACTGTAAATAACAGCCTTGAATATGAAAACTGAGAACTTGAGCACGTGGTTGTGTGTAGTAGTTTGGAATGCAGACTCAATATTCTATTAAACGCCGCATCGGTGAAGAATACAATAAACTCCGTAGACTAGTTATAAGTGGTGTACAATATTATACACTTGATTCTTAGTCAGTATATAAGTAGTGGCAAGGGCGCGCGCGAATGCCAGCCGAAGACTACCTACTTCGTAAGAGTAGAGGATTAGAACTACAGCACCCTACACCGCAAAGATACAAATAAAAAAAACCAACCAGGCCAGCTTTGCGGAATTTGATACTTGTATTTGTTTCACTTATATTTAAGTGCTGCCTTTGGGTGAAGGAGAAAAAAAGCTAGGAAATAAGGCGACACTCTAATTTTGGTAGTGTATACAGTTGGTACACGTCCGAAAGAAAACAATAGGGCCCTGGAGACCGAAACCGAAAAATACACACACCACCTAAGATGCCTACTAGCTGATGGCGTACAAAATAGTTGTTGCACTTTTCAGAAACACGTGCTACTTACATCTTCAACCTTTAACGCTTAGATCTTAGATGTGTTCAGATAAAGAGCTAATTTAACTAGCCTGCAAGATCCGCGAATAATGGTAAAACTATCCGACAGTGGGTTGGTCTTCTTGGCTCACTTCAGGCCCACCATCGTGGTTTTTTTTTTTTTATTGCAAAAGTTAATGATCACTACAAAAAATAAGACTTTCAAAGAAAAAAATAAAAACGACAATGACCCTATTTCTTTACTGTTAAGCACACATGTAGTGGTATTACCTATCAATCACGAGTCAATTTCTTCCTTTCTCTCTCTCTCTCCCGCGTTTTTATATCAATACTCACTTTGCGAATTTCTCTCGTGGACGCAAAGTAACGCTATGTCGTTTAGCTTACGTTTGTTTTGCACTAAAACGCCTACAACTTACTCTTTGATTATATACTAATGCGTAGAAGGTTGAATGTGTACTCTTTAATACAAAACACACAATAGGTACTTTTTTGACAGAGTGGCGCATTCGAAGATTTCCGAAGCCAGCCTGCAGCCTGCACAGCAGCAGATGGACTGGTGTTGGCGGCCGGGAAGGGGAAGAGGGAAAAAAGAGAGGAGTCTTGCAAATGTATACTAAAATGGACGTCACAGCGCTTCTGGCTCTACGTCAGGTAATGCAATACAAATGGAAAAGCTTTGGAAGCCTCTGCGTGCGCTTTTGTTGGTTCAAATTTATGTGGTCGGAGTAAAACGCGAAAAAATAGAACAGGAAATTACTGGAATCAATAGGCATATGCGATGGGTTTCAATAAGACAAACCAGAAGTTCCAAAAATTTATTTATTCAAGATAACCTTGTTGACATATATGTCATTTGTCTTAATCGTGCGCATCACCAATATACGAGTCACGTCACGTGTATAGGAGAGAACAATATTTTACGAGCAGTCGCTGTTGGTAATGTTGGTATTAAAATAATTTAACTGTACTCGGAGCTGAAAAATTATTCAAACCACAAACTGTTACGTGTACCAGACGTACATTGTTTGCAAACGTTCAGTACATTTCTCAGGCAACTGTAAGTACTGTACCTGAAAGTTTTAGGTACCTATAAAATGTTGTCAACACGATTATGAAAAAAATCTAGAAACACAGGATCCAACAAATTTACAATGTTTCGTAAGAATGAGGATAGCTTCACGAGTAACCAAGCGTTGGTTTATACATCCATGCGAAGTGCGAACGACGCGCGAGCACGCGAACGAATGACGATGTCGAAAGCCGGTCTGACGATGTGAAGCTTTACCTTTATATACCAGTACCTATACCCTACCTACCACCCGTTGCTGCATGTTGCCGAGAGAGCATTTCTTCTTCTCCCTTTGGTTTGCGTCAAAAAGAGGGGAGAAGTGGGGGATATATATTAATATATAGGTTTTTTTTTTTTATATTCGGGGCATTCGATATCTCGCAAAAGTAAGCATTATTTTCGATAATCCCTATACTTAAAATAACCAAAAATAACGATAATGCGCATGCGCAGTTTAGGAATTATCGCCGATAATCGACCCCAGTTCACCGTTCACGGTTCACCTCTCATGAGGTATTTACACTTTTATATATATAGGTGTATGTGTTTTATATGTTCAGAGGCACTAATTAATAAAACTGAACATCAACATTTTTTTATGTTAAAACAGTAATCCAAAATTTACTAAAGGAGCAATAAATGAACAATCCCAGCTTGGCTTTTTTCGCTTCTTTTTATTTTTTCGACTCGACAATACGTTCGCAACTTTATTTACAAAACTTAATTCTCGTGTTTTTTTTTCTTGTTTACTGTTCCCTTCTCTCACTCTTGAATTATTTACAAAAGTCGTTAGTTACACACAAGGAGAGAAAAAACAGGCGCACTCTCACTCAATATCCTTATCATTGTGATGTTTTATTTTTTTTTGTTTATTCGATTATCCAATCAATATATTCTTTCGCTCTGTTACGTTCGACTCTTTTAAATGGCTCAAAAAGGCTTAAAATTCAAATTATTGAGAATACTAAAACCTTTAGTTTACGAGTCAGTCTATTTTTTAAAACTAGATTGTTGGTTTTCTTCTTCCCAGTTGATGTTTGTCTCTGTGTAATTTGAATTTTAGTATTGTCCGTAATTCGAAATGTAAAAAAAGTAGTTACTCTATCAATGATCTTTTAGTCTGTTGTGATTAAAAATTTGACATTGAAATTAAGTCTACTTGTGTCTTTTTATTTCGTTTTTTGTTTAATTTGCATTCTTCGATCTCTCTCAACTGTCTTCGATGCTGAATTACCGCGAATGCGTGTACGCTTCATCTGATACAATTTAACTTTCGCAATAACGTCATTATTGTTTAATTTTTAGCATTAATAACCATAAATTATTATATTTTTATTCATAGCGTTTTCAATTGCTATATCGTATCTACTATCGATAAGAAAATTATTTTAGCGGATGTTTTAAATGTTCCAGCATTTATAGTTTTTTTTGGGGAAATCAAAAAGAAAAATAAAATAAAAAATTATTATTATGAGTGTATCCATGTAATTAATTGAAAATCAAGTTTGTTACCGGCAACGATGTGTAATATAAATAAATCAACATCAACACGACGAAATTAATAGTTTTGGGATATTAAAATACTTGTACATTTTTTACTAAAAATATTTTTGTTGGTATATTGATGTACATTACAGAATTTATAACTTTGTAAATAAAATGTAATAGTGGATTCGTCACGCTTTTTGTCGAAAAGAGGAAAGATCTTTAATTGATCAACTTGCAGTTATTTTATCCCTTGCAAAAAAAAGTACAGTGCAAAAATATGTCAGTGAGTTAATCATTACTATTGCAAAGATACAGATTTATGAAAGTACTTCATTAACAATTATTGTTTGATGGAATGTCATTTGATTAAGCCAGTATTCATTTTTAACAGCTCTTTTATTAGTCGACGCATCTAGTGTGACATAATTAGCTTTTAGGTGTTGTCAATTATGAATGCGGAGAAAAAAATTGATTTAAGTAGATAATAATTACAACACATTGAAAAAAACAAATTGAATAATCCAACTTCAGTTTTTTCAACTTGCAATTTCGCACTTACATCAATTTTTTTTCTCTGCACACAGAATTAACCAAAAATTACAGCCGTTTTTTGCTAATTCTATCACACTAATCATTCTTTCCTTGCTGATTATTTTTTTCAAATGGATTCGTGATTTCAGACAATTTTTTCAATTTGTTAATGATTTCACGTGATTATTATATATATTTTTTATTCTAGCATCAAAGTTGTAACTTTTTAAGTAGAATCAACTTTTACATTTCAAACGAGTAATTTGAATAAAAAGGATTTTTCATTAACAGAGCTATCTTTATTCAGATAAATCATAACTGCCGTGCAACCTGAGCATGAGTAAAAAATAAGAAACAAATAATTAGTCGTTTTAATCATTTATTTCATAATTCGAAAGACTTTTTTTTCTCCAAAAGTTACGACTTTTCAATACAGCAGTTTTTTATAAAAAAACTATTTTCTTTTTAAGGAAAATTGAAATAACACGAACTGAGTAAGTTCTTATAGTTAACGAATTTTCGAAAAAATATATAACATAGTTAATGCTGTTAACAAGTTAACATGTCGTACAGTGCAATAATCGCGCTGTTCACATAAGACTTTAAGAATAACAGTTACAGAGAGAAAAAGTCGTAGGTAATCGAGTTTGATTACGATTATTTTTGAAAATATTATTAAAAACATTAATATTACCTTAGTAACTTTGGCACAAAAAAAGGTATGTTAGTAATTTCATGTGGAGTATAAACCAAATATATTTTGATGAATGAATTAATCTTGATGTTTGGCACTTTTTGTTTTACGTAAATTTCTACAAAAAAGTAATTCAAAATTTTATCAAAAGTTTTTTTATTTTTTTTCCATGATAAAATGAAGTGAATGAAATATTGTGGGTTTTTGTGATTAAAGCATTCATGCTTGTTACATTTTTGAGATATTGTTGAGCATGTTTCTCAAACGAAAAGTGGCAAATTTCAATGATCAACCAATCAAAAATTAAAATAAAACCCAATCACATACGACTTATTCTCGTCATCGAAAGAAATGCTATTCAACAAAAAATAAAAAAAAAATCTAGACAAAGTAAGTAGGGATACCATGTGGACAGGCAATGTTCTTCGAGCTTTCCTCTCTTCGTCTCGAGCACGATTCTTTGAATCTATCTCTCTAATGCTCAATCTTTTGTTTACATGATACACGAAAGCGTCTTTTGCTCAGTCAGTTCAATTGTGAACGGTTGTAGAGGCATGCTGGAGTCTTTCAAGCTCTTCGAGCGAGAGCACGTTGGTTTGTCCTAGATCGGGCAGCTTGCCAGCGCGCGCCTGGGCCAATAATTCCGGACTGAACCATCTCGCCAGCTGGTTCGAGGTGGGAGATAGATCACCCCCGTTACCACCTTCACCTCCCATGAAACCACCCATGCCCGGAGAGTTCTGACCACGGCCGCCAATTGACACATTGAGCTGCTGTGGACGCATAGCTCGTCCTTCTGTACACGTATAATAAACAAAAATTTAACCGCATGTATGTAGAAACTCTGATATCTCGTGAATCGCTAAACTATTTTCAATATTAGTTGAGTTTCACGTACAATAATTCAATACTTATTTGATGGACTGGAACAAGGACAAGGTCGGGTTAAGTGGTAGTTAGTTTGTCTTTGGAGAGCCATTGCACGGGATAGGATTGAGTTTGACAGGGATGCCTAAAATTATGAAAATACCTGTTCAACGCAACTTGAAGGAAAGTAAGGTGTACAATTTTTTTCTCTCCAACAATCTAGAGCATTGAAAGAACACAAGTACTCACCAGGTCTGGCAGAGTTAAAAGTCTGACTGAGTGATTGTTGTGAGTTGATGACCCTCATCTGCTGTTGCTGCTGTATGACAAGTTCCTCTTGGAGTAGGCTGATGTGGCGCATCTGTTTAATGGGATCGGACTGCCTCTGCTGTGCCATCATAGAACTTTGCTGAGGAGGTACGTTCTGCAAACCAACAGATTGAGACGTTCCACCAGGTAATGTGTGCTTCGAGCGCGCTGAGTTGTTTCCGAATATATTTGACGCGATGCGCTGTTGCTGTTGTTGTTGTTGTTGTTGCTGCTGCTGCTGTTGGAAGTCGACATTGCTGCTGTATGGGAACTGTTGCTGACTTGCATTACTTCCACCCTTGACGATCGGTCGACCTGTAGATATAATCATCAATAAAAAAATTAAGCAATTTCTATTTGTTGCATCATCAAATAAAACATTTTCTTAGGATTATGTGTTGTTTACATTATCGATTTGTCTGAGTAACACTTTTCACTTCAGTATTAGTGCGATAAATTTTAAAAAATTACATATAATTATAAAGACAAGGGAAGTTAAAATGAAGAAAAGATAGAGTGGATTAGGCATTCAGAAATTGTAGAAGAGCAATACAAATATAAATCATTTGCAATAATCCGTTCTGCTGCGAACGATATGACCACCTGCAGCCCAAATATGATACCATCAGGGTGCACATATACTTAGATATTTCTTTTTTTTGCCCCCCTTCCCTGTGTAGCACAACATGTAGACGACATGGAAATAGCGATAATATGATCCCAGCCGAAGGCGAAGAAGCTACTGGACTTTTACCAGGTGGTTGTTTAGTGACGAGCGCTGGATTAGTCCAATTCGGCTGGATCTGTTGGGGCGGCGGCTGCTGCTGTTGCGTCTGCTGTGGTCGCAACGACGTCGGGTGTCGTCCCAGCAACTGTTGCTGTTGTTGAGTCAGCTGTTGTGATTGTAGGTGTTGCAAGTGAGCCGTCTGGTTTACAAGCAGCTTCGACGGATCTTGACCGCCTGTATTAAATAATATATACACACACTCACGATTGAGCCCAATTCGAAACAACAACTTCTTTTTCTACTACCTACTTTTGACATTTGAACGACTAGTTTACGCTATTTCAATTGTTTTTACAGCACATTGTAATTTTACTCTTGCTAGCCTGAAGCAAGCATGCAACTGTACGTAAAAATACGTTTTTATTATTACTTTACTTACCACACATTTTATCATTACTAACTAAGGAGATACAAGCAATAGATGAAAAAGCAAGCACAAGAAACAAAATAAAACAAGGTATGCAAGACAAAACAGCTTTAACATAAAAGTGCACATAAAGAAAAAAAAAATTTTTTTAATGCAGGTAGGAAAGCATTGGAAAATGGTAATCTAAGCAGTTTATTCCAAGATTAAGAAACAGTAGAAAATCTCAAGTGCAGAAAAGAAAGTTTGCATTTTAAAAAGCGGTGCGCAACAATTTTTTCTTAGTTACACAAATAATTGAGGTATTCGTCTTTGACAAAATATGATCGACAAGTATACATATGTCTTTTCTATTTGCAGTTATGAAAGAAAAAGCAGAAGCAATCAGGCATTGGCAGTAAAAAAAAAAAAAAAAAAAAAGTACAGCATTTGAGAAAATTGAAAAACTTAAATAGTTGAATCGGATATTTATAAAACCGAAGCATTTAATTTGCGAGGTGGAGGCAGCATTTTAATAATACAATTTGATCGACAAATAGAAGTATTATTAATTACTTCAAAGAGGAGTTTTTTTTTTATATATTTAATTATATTCATACTAAACTAATAAATGATAAAAGTGAGTAATGGTGAATTTTGTCATTTTAGTGAAATTCAAATGATTCATTTTTACTTTTAGGACGTAATTAAAAATGAACATTTTTCACTCATTTTTCGTTTGGAGAATAAAAATCTCAAAAATTCAGTCATCCAAACTTGGCTTTCACTGTTCATTACCTTATAACAACCTAGTAGTAATGGGGTAAATTATCTCTAAGAATATTTATATAAAAAATAAAGTAAATCTGTCTTATTGGAAAAGTTAATAAAAAAACTTTTTAGGAAGCCTCCCAAATGTTTGCCATTTCAATGCTCAATTGTTTTTCAAGCACATTTGTTTCATTATTCAACTGATTTAGCGTATCTTTGATGGTATCTTGAGCGATAACGTCGTCATCATTTTTGTTTGTGCTTTTGATGAGTTTGGTCTCGGTAATGCTCTCTATCATTCTTATCTTTTCAAATATAGCGGTTCCAATTTTGGCTTCCTCTATTTTCAAAACTGTAAGGTTATTATCTGGCAAATGCTTCGATTTTACGGCCGATTCACCGCTATCTGCGGACTCACAGCAATTTTTTATGCTATCAGAACTTTTTAAAAGATCTAATCCTGTTTTAAAATTTTGCTGCAGTGACTTAGTTTGTGGGATACCTAACAATTTATGATTACTTTTCAATTCGGAACAAATTAATATCGCACCCTCGGGTTCCTTTTCAGCGGTCATCTTGCGAAGGACGGAGGTTGGCGTAAATGCTAGGGGCGTCGGGCTATGCGTCTGTTTGACTGGTAAATTTACTGGTGTGCCAGAGCGTTGTTGCTGTTGATGTTCCTGTCGCTTACGGTAGTTTTCGCGCTGCTCCTCAAGTTTCTTTTTAAGAAGGGCATTTTGAATTATCGACTGAGTATTTATGGCAAGTTCTCGTGGAGACGGTACACGGTGACCCATCGCTTGAAAAAAAAGTCGTAGTTTTGGATTATTAAGAATTTGATTTTTTTTTTTTTTTGACAAAAACAATTATACGGATTATATTTTAATCCTTACCGTTATTAATTGGAGAGGGTATTCTCTGTTGCTGCTGCTGCTGCTGTTGTTGTTGCTGAAACAGCATCTGTTGCAACAACTGGTCCTGAGAAGGATAGTTTGATTGCGGGTAAGAAGGTCGAGGAGTAGAAGCACCATAATGTTTCAAAATACTCAGCACAACTTCCCGATAACGATGCTGTACGGCTGGATTCTACAAAATTAATAATTTGCATAAAAAATCAAAGAGACAAAAAAAAAAAATAAATAAATAAAACAGGAAACGAACCTGTAATTGCTGGAAGAGATGCTGCCTTGTAATCTCTCCCCGTTGCAAGCCTCGAATAAGAGCCTCCGCCTCTGGTCTTTGCAATAGTTCTCGAGTGGACGGAGTATTGTTTACCATCATCTGTACGTCAGCTGGTATTGGGCTGGCTCCAATCATTCTTTGAAGGGCCTGGGCAATAGAAACATTGTCAGGCTGTTGCTGAGGCGGAGGTTGAGCCTGCTGAGGTCCACTTCCAATCAACATTGACAACATTTCAGACTGCTGCCGCTGCTTTTGCTGTTGCTGTTGCTGCTGTTGTTGAATTTGCAGCACCTTCATGAGATTCTCATGTTGCATCTGAGATTGATGTGGATGTTGCACAGGACCCAGAGGACCAATGTGGTTGTACGTAGGGGGCACCTGCATAGGCTCAGATGGTGGGTGGCTGTTGAGGTGGGGTGGTTGTGCTTGAGGATGAGGCATGGACTGTTGGCTCTTTAAAGCGGAATTTAGCATCTGCAACCAGAAAATGTTTTTCAGTTTTTGGAAAAATAAAAAAATCTTGTATTATACAAAATAATTTTAACTTGCCTGCATGAGGGTAATGGGTTGTTGGATTGTCTGCTGCGTTGGTGGGGGTATCGGAGTCTGTTTTTGCGCATTAGGACCATTTGTCGCAGGTACTGCTTGTCCTCCACTAACTTGAGCAAGCTGACGTAGGCGAGAAAAATTGATGAGAAAAAGATTCGCTTGATTGACAATAGTCACGTAATAGTAAAATCATTCACCAGTTTTTTAAAAGCCGAAAGTTCTTCTTCAGATTTGTTTGGCTTTGTGAAATCTGGTTGCAACGGTGTGGATGGTACTCCTCCTCGCATGCGTGCTTCCAATTCTTCCAAGCTAACAACTTTTGTGCCTAATCACAATTGTGGTCAATTAAGCCTAGATAATTGTATGTTTTTAAGTCCAACTTACCCATTTCCTTGATCGATGTATTCTTCATCAGAGGAATGATATTGCTTATGTCATTCTGGCCATTTTGATTGGGCGGCTTGTTGTTGCGCTGCAGCATCTCCAGCAGTTTAACACCACCGCTCTGAGTAGACTGTGGGGGCATCTGGGGCGGCCGCATCACGTTATTGTTAAGTGTGTTGGCCGCTGGAGATATAGGTGCAAAGTAGGCGTTGGACTCGGTAACCGATGGAATCTGTATTTTGGGCTCGACTATGTCGTTGAGAAGGTTGTTCAGCAATTCGTCCTGAATGGAGGTGCGCAGAGAATCATACTGTTGGTTTTGTTGCTCCTGCTGTTGCAAAGTTGGACTCTCACGTTTGAACCACTGACTAAAGCGCGAGCCAGCATTATCGTTTGAGCCAACACCATTCTGAAATTCAAGTATAGATGATTTGTATTTTTAGCAATAAACTAAATCTAAAAAGTTATACAAAAAGAGCTCGTCTTACCGATAGAAGGCCAGAAACAGCAGAAAAGGTATCCATTTTGAGGAAGTCATCAAGATTGAAATTAGTATGATCATCCTTTTCATTTTTACCGGCAGTGTCACCGGACTGCTCTTTGGAACCGGTTGTCTGCTTGGCACTTTTCTCGTTTTCAGTGGACTTTTCCTTAGACTCTGAAGACTTTGATTCGTTTTCTTCAGATATCGGCGAATGTGGCGTGATCGACAGGATCGATTGATCCATTATAGTTGGTGTGCTGCGAGCTGTATTGGAAAAGCCACGCGTTACAAAAGTTAAATGAGAAAAAAGTATTTTTATTTCACCTTTAGGACCAGTCTCGTTCTTTTCAGTGGAACCGCCCGTAGAAGCTCGGGGGGCAGTTGAAGCAGCCGCAGCCGCGGCCGCAGCAGCTGCTGCTGCGGCGGCAGCCTTCTCCTCCTTTTCGATGGCTTTCTTGTTGCGTTTCTTCTGAGCCGGCGACTGCTTTTTATTTTTGGCGCTCGCGTTTCCGCTGCTCGTTGCCTTATCTTCCGGTATATCCTCAAAGCCACGCAGCTCGATCGTGTCGTGTTGAGATGTCGGGCCCGAGCTGAACCATTCAGGCTCCTCCATATCTCGATTGTCGCTGAATGTTCGCCTGCGATCGTTGCCATACCTTAAAAAAAAAAAAAAAAACAGCGCAACACGTAGCAATTATTTCATCTACGCACACAGTTTTGTGATCTTACATCTCGTACGAAATTGCACAAACGACACAATTCGTTGAAAAATACACTTACCTCCCACGATCTCGTCCACCACGGTCCTTTTCTCGGTCATTTCTGTCGTGGCGATCGCGGTCTCTGTTGTCGTTTCTGTCGTGCCGATCGCGGTCCCTGTCGCCAAAGTCACGACCAAAGGAGCGCCTTTCGAACCGATCATCTCGGTCGCGGTCCCTGTCTCTATCGCGATCCCTATCACGATCACGGTCGCGCCGATCCAGGTCACGCAGGGGGCCCCGATCATTTGGCCGATCACGATCACGATCACGATCACGATCACGATCACGGTCCCCGGGACGGAAGCCGTAGTCCGAATCGAGCTTGTCGTTTTCCGAACGGAAGTCCCAGACGTCGCGCGTAATGATACGCCCGCTGCCGATACGCCGTCCCGGTTCTCGATGAGGTATCTGAAAAACAAAGTACAAAAAGCATTAGGGTCGATCAAAAGGCATACAGTGATTCGTCGAGACACCGACCTCGGGCTTCCCTACGGGGCTCGGAGGACGCTGCTTGACGGTATCGGTAACGTTGACGAAGCAGCCCGAATTGAAGCTACGCCGCTGCGGGCTCAGCACGATACCGTCCTGCTCTTTACGGATGCGCTCGCGAGGATCGCCGCTACGACGCTTGGCGTTGTTTTCAGCCGGAGGATCGCTGCGGGTGCGCGACGTTGCTTCCTTTTCGGGTGGCGTTTCGCTACGCTTCCTTTCGACGATCCACAGTTCCAAATCTCGAATACTGCGCGAACTGAAAAATTATGTTTGTTTACGACTCGTTCACCCAAGTTAAGCCATACTCCCAAGAGATTTGTAGTTAGTATTGCGACGTCAGTCAGACGAGGAAACTTACTTGGTGTTGTGGGCAGGATCAAGACAGTCAGGTTTTCGCTTCGACAGAGGGAGAAGCCTAATCCTCATCAGATCTTCCTGAACATTTTAAAGCGATTTTAGCGATTCGATTCGAAAATAGGATTTTTCAACCAAGGAATTTTTGAAAAATGAATAAGTAAACGAATTTACCCTTGAATATTGGTACTGAGGCCTCGATCGGCCCACTTTTACGATTGAAGGATCGGTCACCTCTCCGGCAATCGATAGCGAAATGATCGCCTCGTCTCCTAGAGATGGAAAAATTATGATTTTCGTACATGGCAAACACCGGGTGAAAATATAATGATCAAACGTGTGTTTCAAACGTATATTCCTGTCTCTCCTGATACAATCCAAAGAAAATTTGGGGCAAAGGTAAGGGAAGGGGGGGGGGGGTTTGAAATCGATCAAGGACGTGTTTACTTACGAAAGTGAAGTTGGGTGTCGATCGGGGCGATTTTGCTCGCAGGACGCCGGTACCAGTGGTACTGCTTTCTTTCCTCGGCCAGGCAAGCGTCGAGACTCGGCACACCCGTGGGCCCGACCAGCGAGTACCGATACCCCATTGCGCGCTGCTGGTGGACTCGGCTGCTACCACCTACACTCCTATCCTGCTGTTCTTCGGAAATCGACTCAAGCAGCTTCATCCTGATACTTCCTTTATCAGACCTTTGCAAGATTTGCACAAGTATCCGCAAGTAACGCGAACCGGACCTGCGCGTGCGGATTTCGTTGTGTTTGGGCACAAGTTCTCGGATTTCAAAAGTCTGGTGACGGTTGGGATTACTGTTTACTTAAATTCAAAGTTTGAGGCAACAACAAACATTAAAAATAATAATAATNATATGTACTATTAACTTCGTGTAAATAGATTTGTTCGGGATTAAGCTTGGAAAAAAGGAGCGCTCCGAGCTACTTCAAGCTTAATCCCGAACAAATCTATTAAATAAATAAGCAATATTATCACTTACTATTAATGTTTGTTGGATTTTCCGTAAGCAAAAAAACTTTATCGATCGAAAGTGATATCTCTGTATAGATATTTATTTGAAACACAAGCAATAAATTAAGTAAGGTACGTTATAGACACGAGTGAAATTCGAATCGGTCGAATTTCGAATTTGTGCCCTGCGACCAACGAGAGCCCGAGACTTTGTTTACGTTTGAAGGGCACTCGTCATCGACGAACACTTTTGAGCGCGTGAGTGTATAATTGTGTGCTTGCTTGGTCTCCCCCCCCACCCCACAAATCGAAAGAAAATTTTTATCGCTTATTTTCAGAAACGAAATCCCATTAGAGTCGTTACAAAGAAAAATGATAAAAATAAATATAAGTACAAAACATACGTCTTAAAGAGAAGCTTGAGATCGACGCTGTTGATGGTCGTCCTCTGAGCTACTTCTAAATCGCAAAAAAGCAGGTCTCTTCTCTGAAGCTTTTGGAGCCGCAAACAGAGATTTTTTGAAAACAGTATACTTAATGAGGTAATAAAGAAAAACTAATCGCAGCTAACGCGAGTGTACACACCCGAGTTTAACTGGGAAAAAAGAGAGAGAGAGAGAGAAAAAGCTGGACGACACAAGCACTTGAACAGCCTTGAGCGCAACTGAGCCGATGGATGTATAAGTATCGTTGATTAACCGATGAGTGATTAAGCGTTTAATAGTTTGGTTTATAAGTATAAGTAATGTGACGGCGACAGGTCAACAACTATTGGCCAATTCTTTCCGAGGTCTAGAGGGGAGAGTAGGTAGAAGAGGGGTTCTTTGTAAATTTGGCAATCTGAGGGCTTCATATACATGTATGTTTATTTATGTTTATAATACTTATGTACTGATACATGGGGTTTTGTTACTTTTGTCTGTAGCTTTTTCTTACTATATATACTTTAGCTAATCGTTTGAAACACACGTTTTTTAAACAGCTGTGGTAAAGTTATGAGTTAATATTTTGATAACAGGCCTACTTTTCGTTTTGTTCTTGACAGAAAAATTTTGAAAGATCAGTAGGTTATATATATATA